GAACGCTGAGGGTATTGTGTGATCGCTGTGACCAATCACAGCAGATCACAATGCAATTGTACACAATGGATGGCTTTGATTTATCCATCCATTGTGTACTACTGTGTTGCTGGCTGTGACAGACAGGGCCTGTAACAGCCCATCTGTACATGTGATTAGCTGTGGTCAATCACAGCTAAACAAAACACACTAAATGAATCAATATTATTCAGTAAAAATGGTTGCTTATACTTCCCCAGAGATCACTTCCCCAGAGAAGTAAGGTGTTGCTATGCTATGGTATGCTATGGTATTGCTCTGGTTATTAGTTATATGGTAAAACTGTACTGCACTGGTGACAGTATGTATTAAAAAAAAATGATAATTTTCTAAAAAATTGTGACAAAAAAATTACAACTTCAAAAAATTAGCCGTGCCTCTTACTAAATAAACTGGACTGTCTACTTTCCAAAAAGGGGTCATTTGGGGGATATTTGTATTGTCCTGACATTTACGGGCCTCAGGAAATGAGATAGGCCATCAGTACATCGGGATTAATCAATTTTCAGATATACAGTATATAGCATAGTTTGTAGACTTTATAACTTTCCTACATACTAAATAATAAACACTGTCTTGGTTATTTTCACCAAAGAAATGTAGTAGAATAATTTTGGCCCAAATTCATGAAGAAAGGTTATTTATTTTCCAAATGTTATTACAGAAAAGAAGAAAAGTGTTTTTTTTTTCACAATTTTCAGGCTTTTTTAGTTTTTTTTTTTTTTTTAGCAAAAACCCAGTGGTGATTAAATACCACCAAAAGAAAGCTCTATTTGTATGAACAAAATGATAAAAATGTAATATAGGTACAGTGTTGCATGACCGCACAATTGTCATTTAAAGTGCAACAGCATTGAAAGCCGAAAATTGGCCTGGGCAAGAAGGGGATAAAAGCGCCTTGTATTGAAGTGAGTAAACCTACAAGTGCTTTTTTTATATTGGCTTTTGAAATTTACAAATGCAGCAGTTTAGAAATGGGATGAAAGGTTTAGCACTGTGAAACACTTTTTGATAGATAAATTGTGCACTTTATATACAGCTATATAGATCAGACAATTGCTTATTTTCTCAGACAATAGGTGCAGAAAGTCTCTCTTTCCAAGTCACCCCTTGTCTCCGCCCCCTACCCACATCTGAGCACTGTTCCTTGGTTCTTCCCCCTCCCAGTACTACTGCCGTTTTAGAGAATACAGAGCCAAGTATCATTTTGTGGTGCTAAGTAATTTGCATGGAATTTGTTAATGATAACAAGAAAAGCAGTAAAATAAATCTCCTGCAGCCAGAAACAATATATCCCCCTTCAGCAACAACAGATCCCCCCAACAACAATTGATCTCCCTTCAGCCAGCATCAATAGACCTTTTGGCAATCAGCAATAATAGACCCCTCTTTCAACAGTAGATCCGTCACATCAAAAATTGATCCCCCAGCAACAATAGATACCCCACCAGCATCAATAGACCTCCCCAGCACAATAAACCCCCTGCAACAATAGATCCCCATCAACAAGCATCAATATACCCTCCAGCTCACCCCAGCACCCTTGCCATTATATACATTCAGTGCTGAAACTGCGTTCCCCCACGTTCCTGCTGAAAAAAAGCCCTGCATCAAACCAAAATGAGGGACAAATGAGGAGGAAGGAGGAACTTTGTTCCAAATGAGGGACAGTCTCTTTCAAAATCAGGGACGGTTGGGAGCTATGTACTATGAGGCATGGTGCAGACTTAGGTGTCACAGTTAAGTGCTGTTTTCCATAGGGGGCCCCAAACCCACAGTGCTACTTCAGCACCACACCCAGGGGGCTTTTGACACTGTGGGCCCCCTGCTTTCTCCACCCCAGCCAGACAAGGTAGCACAGTCAAATCAGAAGGCACTGGGCCCCTCACGTTCCTCAACTAGAAAATTACTCCCTTGCCCCACATTACCCAGTGAGTTCCCCAGTTTCTGTTCCTCATAGAAAAATCAGGACCCTCATCACACCAGCAGGGATACTATGCAGCCAGCCATAACACCAGAATGATGGTGGAGTACCCCTACTGGACACTGATAAGTGTTCAATATGAAGTTCAAAGTGGTTCTAAAGTTATAATGTTTTCCCTGCAATAAGGTAAACAATGTTTTAGCATTTGTTGTGTGTAAAGCCCCAAACACTTACCCAAGTCCTGTGTAGATCCAGCACTGTTCCCAACTCCATCTGGTCTCTCTTCTTGCCCTGCTCTCACAGGCTTTGCTGAGGCAGTGGGAGCGATTCAAGCCCTGTGAGCAGCGAGTGGGGGGTGGGGGGGGGGCCAAGCCACACTGTGTGTATCGCTGGGCTGTGTGTATCCAGAGATACACACAGTTTGTGAGTGAGCCGGCACGTCTGCCCCCATAGCAAACAGCTTGGGGGCAGACACAAAAGAGGAGCAGAGAGCACCAGTGGGGATCCCAGAAGAGGAATATCGAAACGGCACTAAATCAAGTCAAGGCCCCTTTCTGCATCAGCCAATCAGATAAAGCATGCATAGAATACAAAGCTTCCTGGGAGTGGGATGGCAATTTCTTGTCCCGCTTCCAGAACACAGCACTGTATCTTGTATGTAGCCAAGGCTACATATAGTTTGTACAGCGCACACAGCCACTGAAACTGTTAGTGAAGTAAATAGATCTTTTAAACCAGCTTGGTCAAAACCAACTATTGAAGCTGCAACCCAAAAAATGAATGCTGAAAACTAGCCAGGGTATCTATACTTGTTGCATGCCCCACAATTAAAGGTTAAGTTCACCTTTGTGGAAAAAAAATTTAAAAATTTACATTTATTATTTTTTCACAGGATCCTGCAGATCAGATCAGTGGATCTGAGTGCAATGTCAGGCTCCTGCACACACTGCCTACAGCTGTGTGCCCATACCACTGTATGGGCTGTTAGTTTCTAAGCTGGAGGCAGTGAGAAAGTACTACAAGTGTGATGATCATAATGCTTTCAGTCCACTGAAATTACAAGTCTGTCTGCCACTGTCACAGACAAGACTTGGAGTTCATTCACAGATCCTTGTGAATGACATGGTTGTGCAGGCAGAGCCCTGCTCAGCTATGCCCATATCAAATGTGACAGTGGGTGTGTGTGTTGGGGGGGGGGGAACCCGGTCCCACTGTCACAGGGAGGGGGGCTCTGGCAGTGGGAGACATGTCAATAGGAGCATGTTACTCCCTAAATACGGGTGTAATATGCTCCCAGAGGTGAACCTATCCATTAAAGGCCAGTTCCACCGACAGGCCCATGCTACACCCAATATTTATGGTGTGATGGCCCATACATATGATAAGAAAATCGTACGAAAATATCTATATGAGGCACGATCGGCCGTTTATCTGATAATTAGTATAGTGCTTTCGATTCTCGATTCCGACTTTTCAAACGACAAAAAACGACGGGGTGCAAGCTTGAAAATGTTTATTGTAAGAGAAGAAAATGTCTGATTTTTGTTAATGTGAGCAGTAATGGTATGGAAACAATCAAATAGAAAAAACGTGCATGATCGGAAGCATAGCACGACCCTACACTTTCTCTTCTGCTACTCTAGTACGTAACTATGTTTGCCAACATTTGCCATTCCGACTACATCATGATGCGTGCTTTCATGGAAAATCGAGCGGTCATTTTTTTTCTCAAAACATCTCTTAACATCGTGCCAAGCAGACGTTACCTTCAAAACAGCCCCCCAAACACATGAGGCTCCATTCAGCATGGCTGTGCAGGACTCCGCCCACAAAACACATCCTTTGTTCACAGAGATCTTTGACTGAGTAAACTATAAGTCTCATCCAGCCACTTTTAGCTCTCAATGGAACACAAGTGTGGTGATCAGATCACTTGTAGTCCACTGACACTCCCTTCCTCCCATATCATGCCTCAGTACAGACAGGACGCTGGAGGAAGAGTCTGCAGGAGCCTGGCATCGCACCTGTCATCCACTGATTACAGTGGAAATGCTTTGCACAAAACAACAAAATGCACATTTTTCTATAGACATTGCATTTAATATTTGTGCAAAAATTGAACTTGGCCTTTAAATTTCTAGTCAACACTTGTCTTGGATAGAAAAGGGTTAAAACCAGTCAGGTTTTACTGCTATCCAGGGAGCAGTTAGCAAGTTTTCCCTCTCTTTCTGTTCTGGGGACAGTTTACCAGAAAGGAAGTTTGGGGGAGAAAAAAAATACCTCAAGCAAGAAAACATAAAGCTGAAAAGGGTTTTAGAAGCCCCTAATTCCAACCCTTCCCTACTCTATCCACAACAACATAAATGTTTTTACTATAGGTACGCTTTAAAGTTATTACTCCGTGTTTACTTCAGTTTTCATGTAATAGGCCCACTAAGGTTCCTTGCACAGGGAATTTCACATACAATAAATTGCTTGTGCAATCAACATCAATAAATATATAAATCACAGTTTCAGCAAACAAATACAATTTCATTAAAGAAATACAGTGTTCATGCCATAAAAAGTCCATCATGATTAATAAATAATGGGATAAAGTCTATGCAATTTTTTTTCTAATAGGTGCAAAGGAATGATAACAGGCAGGGCTGGTGCTTCCACTAGGCAAACTAGGCGGCCGCCCAGGGCGCACTGCCACCTAGGAGCACCTGGGTGCAGCACAGGCCAGCACTCTCTCTGTGTGGAATGCCACCTCGTCATGAATGATCCTCCAGTTGAGGGGAGGGGCAGAAGAGGGGAGGAGGAAGATGCCCAGTGTCTTGGGCCAGTGTAGTAGGTTGAGCTGCCATTCCTTCCAGTGTTTCTCTCAGACTCAGTCCCTTACTGCAAACCTGCTGGCGGCGGCTGAAAATCACTGTGGAGTTCCAGCCCTTCTCTTCCCATTCATCAGTGGAGGAGGAGCTGTGCCTGTGGAGGAAGGTAATGTCTGACTCTGATGTCCGGGTGAGTGTGACCCAGCCGGCCATCCATGTCATGCAATGTGTCAATGATTGATGACATTATCACGATCCCAAAGCCTGCTCCTCTATTGCCTGCTGATCTGTGTCAGTGTTGTGTGTGTGTGCTGTGTTGTGTCAGATCTGTCACAGTGTGGGATCGCTCAGTTCTGTGTGTGTGGGCTGGGCTGCCTGCTGTCACAGCATTTTATCTCCCCCCATTGCCTGGGGAATTCCAGACTAGGATCTCTCAGATTGTGGATCCATCATCCTCCACTCACTGCAACTGTGACCCTGCCTCTGCCAGCCACAGATATAGTCCGTCCGTGACACTGATTTTGTCTTTAATATTGGTGCTGATGGCATCTTATGGCACTAATTTTTGAAAAGTAAAAGAAATTTAGAAGTTTAATGTTTTGTTGATTTAATAATTTCTACTGATTTTAAAAATGTTTATTTTTTTCAGGGGGGGGCAAGTAACTGGTCTTGCCTAGGGCGCAAAATAATCTAGCACTTGCCCTGATAAAAGGTAGGTGCTTTTCACGTGTATTCTCCATCATAGATCACACAGCCTCTTATCAAATCTTGTTGATCTCCTAAATATAAAGAGATAAACATGCACTTGTATAAGTGAGCCCCTGGGAGACAGCCTGCTTCAGTCAGTATTTGAATCCAGACATTCGGTCTGCTTACACCAAGGATCAACAGCACGCCAAACTGGGCTCAACTTAACCTGCATTAGAATAAAAGGCAGCCGACACAGTGCAATACTACCAAGATGGATCATTTTATTCAGCAGCAGAAGAGATAATTACACAGCAAGTATATCAGATACACTTCACTAACAGAGAGCATTGTCAGAGGGTTGGAGCATGATTTCAACATAATCAAGTCTGTCTGGGACAGTAGGGTTTAAGGCAATTTACTTACATCCATAGAAGATCTGTGGTCAGTTCTCTAAGATGTCTGGAACAACCTACCTGCCAAATGCCTTCAAAAAACTGTGTGCACAAGTACTGTGTGAATTTCTCTGTTGTTCATTTACTTTCCATTTCATTAATTTATAAAAATAAACTATTAAACACTTCTATTTCTTAAAGCATTCTTCATTTACACCATTTTTTCACAACTGCCTAAAACTTTTGCACAGTAATATATATATATATATATATATATATATATATATATATATATATATATATATATACACACTGTATTTATACAGTGTATATATACTGTGTGTATATATATATATATATATATGTATTACATTTACCTATATGGAGTCTGTATATGTTTATGATGTACATGGACATTCTCTAATTGAGTATACCCATAATCCTATGAGCATTTATACACTTTTTTACGTGAAACCTATAATGTACTAATCCTCTCGCTTAACCATATCATTTTATTTTGATGATGAATTGCTTTTCAGTTGTACCTCTATTGGAAATGCATTAACATTTGTTTTATGCTGTTCCTTCCCCAATGTTAGCCCTTAAAGAGGAGGTCCAGGCTCCCTCATAAAAAAAATACAAGTCAGCAGCTACAGATACTGTAGCTGTTGACTTTTAGTACAAAGACACTTACCTGTTCAGGGGTCCAGCGCTGTTGTCACCTGGGTTAGGTCTTCACCAGTCTCCAGGTTCCCAGTGCCGGCATTGCAAGTGAGGGAAACCGGAGGTGAAGTCTTGCAGCTTAACTGGAAGTGCCCCCCCCCCAAAAAAAAAGTGCCAAATGTGACAGAGAAGGGCCGGAGGCAGCAGACAAGCGGAGCTTCCCATTTTGGATGGAGCTCCACTTTAAGAAGGTTAAGCTGCAAGACTTTTGATTCTTGCACAGCACTCCTTACTCACTTCCACAATCTTCACATTTTTTAAGAGATCCACATTTCAAGAACCCTCCACAATTCAAGCTGTCACAGATCCAATCATCACAGACAAGTTCTATCACAGCCTCGCTAGTACACTGCATACAGTTTATAAGACAAACAAAAAATATTTAGTTGAAAGGATCAAACATTTATTTCGATTTATATGGGTTACCTTATGCATGTAGCGGTTGCTAGTGATAGTAAACAAATATAAGCTATACTGAAAATGACATTAAAAAAACAATATTATGATAAAATAGTAATAGGAACATACATATACAGCATGTTTGACAGTATATGGAATTCTAAATCAGCCTTTACCAGGGGCAGACTGACAACTCATGGGGCCCCCCGGGCAATAGGGGATCATGGGGCCCCTGTGTCCTTGCCCAAACTCAAAAAAGCCTATGAAAAAGGTACCAGGGGCATCTCATGGGGCCCCCTACTGACCCCGGACCCTCGGGCAGTGCCCAAGTTTCCAAATGGTCAGTCCGCCCCTGGCCTTTACTGGTTCTTAGAAATAAGGCTTAGTCTGCTGTTAAAGTGCTAAAAAGTGGCAACTGAGAATGGGTAAAGCTGACACTTTCATAATCAGTGGCCTTGTTTTCATTTAGGACCTTTAAAACTGTCAGATTCTCCTACACTTTCCCAATGAACTCCTGAACATTATTCCGCCAGAATGAACTTTAATTTCTAATGTTGCTGGTAGAGGTTAATAATGTCATGTTCAACTACAATGGCTTCACTCTATGTGTTCTATTCAGTGGAAGGAAAGTTTGGGTTATAAAGAAAAAAGGTATTACATGACAATTAGTCCCTGCAGCAGTGATCAAAAGCCCCCCATGATCATCTTTAGCAACAATAAAGAACAATGTTAGAGGTTAAAGTGGGACTAGACCCATTAATTTAACAGAGTCAAATAACTGTTACATTCCTGGCATGCTGGGAATACTAACTGTCACATTTGCTTGTGCAAACCAAACTGTCAAATCATCAAATGGCTGGCATCATAATTGATCACATGGGCAGCATTGTGGCAGTTGTAAATCAAACAAAGGCTAAGATGGCAGCTTCCTTGGCTGAAAAGGATAGGAGGGTTTAGTTCTGCTTTTATGATGCATGTTGTCATGATGAACATACCTGTTAGGATGAGCTACCACATCTGTGGTCTGCTACACAGGTTGACTTATCTACCAAAGATAGCTGGCATTAAGGGAACCAGTAAAGGGATGCTTTGGACCCTTAACAGTTCACCTCCATTTAACAAATTCCCTATCATTCCTTACCATCACAATTTGGGACCATGTATCTTCCACCCATCCAGAGGACGGCAAGTGGATGAGTCAACAATCAGCAAGTTATGCTGATGCTGCAGTAGATAGCCTTAAATATGAGCTTTGTCTTCAGAACTCACTGCTCTCTCTGGAAAAAAGGAGGTGAACTGCTAAGGGGTCTAAAGGACTCACCATAAATAGTTTATAACCGATGATAAACATCTGATTTATTGCAGATCTGGAATTAGCCAAACTAATTCACTCAGCCCCACTTAGAGTGCACCAAATTTAGTAAATCTAACCCTCACTGTCAGTTCAGCTCCCCTTGTCCCACAAAGTGGCTAAGTGATTTAGGTTTGGTACAAATAAATACAGTCTTTATTGGATCTTCCACAAATGACAACTTCCATTGTTTTGAGTGTTGTCCTTTGTTTGGGTGTACATAAATAAAATACCATATTTTTATAAAAGTGTCATAGAAATGATGAAGCTTTGTATTTTCATATAGTTAATACAATCCATACAGTTACTACAACCCTGATCTTTTTTGGAAAACAATTTCTGTTTGTGTTTTTGCTCCCAATACTATTTAACCTTCTACTTTGCAAGACACTAGCAAGAAAAACAATGACATTAATGGGTTAGTTCACCTTTACCCCAAAAACTGCCTATGCAGATAAGGGGTGTCTGTAAATAAAAAACAAACTGTGCAGCTCTGACTAAAGTTGAATAATGCCCTTGCTATAGGTGTAGGCCATTTCCATAGCTCCAGCAGCTTCACTGGAAAAGACCTGTATGCTCCTGAGAGATGCATAGCTGTTACTGTTCAGCTTCACCATCACAAGAGTGAGCTATGAGCTCAGAACGACCGAATCAGGGGAGAGAAAGTGCATGTGAGAGGCTTTGAATCAGAGAAAGTGCTCACACCTGTCATGGTGAAGAAAAACAATAACAACTAAGTGTCTCTTAGCAAGGTCTCAGGAGATTTCCAGTTAGTCTTTATGTGGTAGGTAAATTACCTAAACCTATAGCAAAGGCATTATTCAACATTATCAAAGTTTTTTATCTACAGACGTACCTTATCTGCATAGGTAGGTTTTTTTTAGTTAAGGTGAACTATGCCTTTAATGTTTATGAAGGTAACAACTGAATGTTAGTGAAGTTAAACTATTTCCGGACCGGTTGATGTAAAAAGATTTTCACATTTAGGTTCTGAGCAGCCACACTCATCCACATAGATATATGGATAAGATGTTTTGGTGCCATCTAAACAAGTCAGTTCAACTGTTCTTTCTGAGGTCTTAAGAGGCTTGCAACATTCACATTTCTCTTCCATCTTCTTACTGCCAATGGTGAACCTGCAAAGGGAATGAAAAACAATTTTTAGTCACGTTTTAGGTTATTGTTAAAACTAGCTCAAGTTCATGAATAGAGTTTAGATTTTAACCATGAACACAGTGGAGATCCCTCTAAGCCTTTCTCCCATAAATCCCAGTTTCTACAGAACTGGAAGCCATGAGGTTTTACTTGCATCTTTGTGGATGTAGCACACACTGTTTTGTAATAATATTCATATATGAATAGGTTTAAAGAGACTGTGTTTTTGATCGTACTATATGGATGGATAACAAGCTCATACAAGTACAAGATACAAGTAAATTTAGCGCTACAGATCCCAGTGAGAAATTATTAAAAGGCCATGGTGTCCATAGGAGGATTAAAGGAAGACAGGGCCATAGGATGGACAAAAATCATGTAGCTCCTGATGGACAGATCTGGGATTACATGTTATAAAGTATGTTATATGGATGGATAGGTTTACTTTATTAAAAGGTCCCCTTTCCTTTACTGTACTTTGCTACGGGAAGGTCATATCACTGCTAAATGCACTAGTGCCATTTTTAGAAGCTGTTTTTCAACTTAGTGTTTCCAGACACAGACCTCCCCACGACGCCAAAGTTGGTCTTATTATTGGTGTTGCCTGGCTCACCACAAATGTCCAAAAAGGGTTGTTAAGCTTCTTACTCACTGTGGCCTGCAGTATAATACCTGAACACTGGAATTCTTGCACTGTGCAATGTATTATGGAATGGGTGACTGAAGTGTATCATATTATGCCCATGGAAGAGTTCATGGCAAGTCTTCAAGAAATATACTCCATTTTTTTAATACTCTTTATTACAAATTATACAATCAAAATACAAAGTACGATACGTTTCCTATT